TAATTATTTAGTAGCTGCGTTAGTTTAGGGTTATTTTCGAGGAATGTTGTTTTAAGCAAAGCCAAATTATTTTTTCTGCAATCTGTCAAATATAATCTACATTCGAAATATTTTTTATGTATGTATTGTTTAATACCTATCCTTCTACTGATTAAGCGGTTAATATTTTTAGCACAGGATGATGAAAACACAACACGGATTAAGCAAATATTCAAAATGTTATTGCATAAATATTATCATCATAAAATAACTATAAAAATGTATTTATTTATTATTAGTATCATTATTATGATTATAATTATTATTATTATAATTATTATTACCACTATTATTATTATTATTATTAATATATTTATTGTAAAAAGCTTTTCATATATTCCAGAAAATTTCATAAAAATTATACATTTATTTTCTTGGCCTATAAACATTTTTTAACGATTGAAAATCAGAAAACACCATTTAATTAATAAATGGTTTATAGATAACAATTTAACAGTTTTGTTTATTCAGCTCCCATGAAATATTTTTTATTAAAATAGAGTTAAGACATATTTTTTAGTTAGTAGTAATGTGTAGCTTGTGTGTAAAGAGTTTAAATACTTTATTTCGATAATTAAATAATTTAATAGAAAATTTATATGCATTTGGACAACAGCCTTTACATATTACACAAGCATACACAACATGAGTTGAGTCTAGTATATGTTGCTGAAAACTTTACTCATTCGAAAATTCCATTCAGCGAACAAGTGCCCCCAATCTTATGCTACTTGCTGATACTTTGCGACATTTTTATGTCAATTTATTTATACCTGGCCTTTGAGAGATGCCTTTAAATCAGATTACCCACATACGTCAGGACGCATCGCATGGGAATAAATGTTGTAAGTAGAGTAGAAGGAGGAGAAAATTTAATTTGCCTTTACCTTTGATTTTCTGCAATATTAACTAAAAATTTAGTTGAAGTTGCCTTTTTAAAAATGTCAGCTTAAGTGAACGGAAGCCAAAGCAAACTAAATGAAAAGTGCACAAACTGCGCCAAAGTGAAGGACAATTTTTTTTTAAATGCAGTCGACTACAGAATTTTTACGACTGCCAAACGGAAATGAGTGGGCGGTGGTCAGTGGGCGTGAGTACATGATTAATTCAATGCGAATGCAAATTTGTGCAATTGAACTAACTGCAAGTGCATTAAATCTATTAGAAAATCCCATTAACTTGAAGCCATAAACAAGATTATTTATTTGTATACTCATTAGAAATGGCTGATAAATCGGTGTAAAGGTTGCTTGTAACAGGTGTAAAGTAATGTTTTGGACACCATTTTAAATCCGTGTCGATTTATAAACGTCTGTCCATTTACAGAACTTTTGTTAAAAAGATACCACAAGAGCTAGGACTTCAAAAAAAATTATCTATTCTATTTACTTGTTGTAAAAATTGTTGGCATCAATTTTGTTAAAATTATAATTATTGGGCTGGCTTTAAGCTGCACATATTCAAGCAATTTATTTCAGTTTCTTTTGATTTACATTATTTTTAATGCAAACAAGACATTAAATGCTATCTTGTAAATTCTTAAAATGTTATAGCGATTGGACAATATACGAATAATTAGTTTATAGTTTATAAATAAAAAACAAACAAAAGCCTGCCTCAGGTATCTACTGCAAAGAATTTGGAAAGAAGCCAGTTTTTTTCTTCATATTAGGATTTTACAAGATTTTTAATGCTTGACTTAGATTTTCTCTATTTAAAAATGTTACATGCAAAATCTATGTAATCTGAATAATTTGCCAAGTACTTTTTAATCTTCATAATAAGTTTTTTCTAGACTTCTATAAGAAGGTACACTTTCGATTCTTGGTAGGCGCTTACTTTTTGGTATACATGCTGTACCAACCCAAATCTCTGTAATCTGAATTATAAATTTATATATGCAGAGTCAGTTGTGTACACAGTATCTCTAAGTCACGCACTTTCCAACACGACTGTTTTTTTTTTTTTTTTTCTTTGTAAAATCTAATTTTAGTTGCTACTAAGCGACAAATTTAGTTATCGGCGCCACAAAGTTAAATTGAATCAAAGCGCAGCAGCAACTCGCAACGCACTTCAAAAGTGACAAATAGTCGCGGTTAAATTTGCCTCAACGTGGCGTTAATATGACAGGCAGCTGTACTTGTTGTTGTTGCTGCTGTTGTTGTTGTTGTTAGCACAGGAATCAGGACTAAGATGTAAGCACTGGCGGGTCTCTGAACGAATCAGTCTTAAATGCATTTGGCCGTCTTTCATATTTTTGCAATTTTACCCACCGTCACTTACGACTCGCATCATTCTTTTTCATTTCGCCCCAGCCCATGGATGAATGAATGAGTGCATGGAATGGATGGCTGTTTGAATTGTTCGCTGACTAGCTGACTTCCTGGCACAGCGCCCCTCCTCTCTCTGCCTGTCTGTCTGTCTGGCTGGTACCCCTGGCCATAGTTGCCAGTTAAAGCGGATTTGTGTGCCCGTTACTGTTGCACTCGGGGACCAGTCGCCAGTTTTGGCGTCAAGAGTTTGCATTATTTATTTAGTTTTTCGTATTCTCTCTCTTTTTACATTATTATTATTTATTTGCTGTTGTTGTGGCTACGGCTTAGAGTTTTGATCTTTAAATATCGTTTGAAATGGAGAACAAAATATATGCAGAAATTCCATGAACAATTTTTTAAAAACGCTTTCAGTGTGTGCTAATAGTTTTGTGCTAAAGTTATTGTAGTCACATTTTAAAACATTTCCCTTATGATATTAATATAAACTAATAATGTTTAAGAATTAAACAAAATAATTACAGCATATATGCGCGAAATATAGTTAAATTTCTTTTATATAAAAAAAAAAAACATGTCAAAAAATGTGCAACTAAACGTAAACTCGAGCCCTATTTTATAACTAACTATGAATCATCTTTTGACTAAGAATTAATATATTAAGGCCACAAGAGTCGAACCTAAAATGCAAATATCTTTTATTTATTTCTAAAAATTGACTTAAATCAAAAAACCAAAAATGAAATGGAAATCTTTAATTTAATTTATTATTTAAACTCTGCATTTCCAACTGGGAAACAAAAACCAAGATGTGGAAAACCAGATTCACAAAACGAACATAAAAGCGAGACTGTGATGGTACACATACATATAAAACTTACTCCCAATTGCACAAGTTTTAGTTGTACAGGCCAAATGCCCGCACATGATTAGCAGATTCGGTGCAATTGCCACAGCGAGCCTGGCGGCTGATGTTTCGGGCGGGCAATATTGACACATGACTTGAGTCTATACAAATGAGCAAATGGCCTGTGGGCAAGTTGTTCTGATTTGGGTATATACATCTGTTGTGGATTGATGTGAAACGATGTAAATCACGCTGGATGTTTGCACACGTTGCCAACTTTTATCCGCCATGCTGGTCAACATGCTCGTTAGCCACTGATGCAATACTTCAGATATCCTGCCTTTTTTCTTACTTTTTTTTTTTTTAATAAAGGACACTCGAAATCACAAAATAAGCTGCAGAGAGCTGCCTGGGAAGCGACCACCAGCGGTGCGTTAGCATTTGCCATTCTTAAAAATACATTTTTTTGGTTGTGTCGCATCCTGTGCGCACAAAACATTGTTCTGTTTTTTTTTTGTTTATTTTTTTTTTTTTATTTTTTGGGTGTTTGTCAAACAGGATATTACACCTCGGTTTTTGTCGCTGTCTCTCACTTTCACATGCTGTGACATATTTCTATAGCAACTCTAGAGGGAGGAGAGACAAACTTGAGTGAAAAGTCTGCTGCCAGGCAGTCAGCCAGACATTTTTGCGGTGGTTTCGCTGTTTTTTAATCTTATAAACAATGTCAGCATGAGCTCTGCTTTTCGCGCTGCTCGGCTGGTGTTGCCTCCGAATGTTGCATGTGCCTGGCGAGGCACACTACAGCCGCCCAAAGCGTTTTATGGCTTTAATATGTTAAATCGCATTTGCTTATAATTTTTTTTGTGTTCATGTTTTTGTCAACAAAATGTTTCCTAAATACCAAAATGATTGCATAAATTCGCACTCAACATTTATGATAGTTTAAGAATTTTAATAAATGTAAAAAGTTAAGCTACGCTTGGGGTATATGAATATATAAATAATTTTGCTTTCATTAAGCTACACCTTAAATATTAAAATATATATATATGAAAAGGGCTGTAATTGATAAACTTAAAAGTCTGCAGAACAAATTCTGAAAAGTGATCCAGAAGGCAAAACATTTGATGTTTCCAACAAATAACTATAATTCAAAACTGCAGTTTCATAAATCAACATATATATAAAAATAAATAACTTTGTGCATTTTTTTTAACGCTTTCCTATACTTTAGAAACTGCTCAACAAGATTAGCTCACCTAAACGTTAGCTCAAAAGACAAACAATTGTACAAAGCATAAAAGAAATTTTGCCTGCCCTGCTGCGCGGCTATGCAAAATGAGTTTGGCTACTGATATTAAATTATACATTTTTAATAAGCCCCTTTAGGCCAGTTTACCAGGCGGGTCTTAACGAAAGCAGTAAGGTCTAAAGAGGCCCTGCATTAAAATTTATTGGCTACTTCAAATGTTGAATATTTAGAAAAGCAGAAAATGTGAACAGCAAGAAATGTTGAATGAAACTTGAATAGTTAAAGAAATAAGAAGAAAAAAAATCTTAGGAAAGAAAACCCTTTTTGTAACACAATACACGACCTCGTTAAATAGTGTCAAAAGACAAACTTTAAAATCCAAAATATTTGTTTGTAAAAAAATATTAAATAACATTTTATTAGAATTTAGGGATATGCGCAGACTACCTTTTGCTGCCAACATAACCTGCATTCATTTATCAACACTTGCTGTGTGTGGCCCCCCTTTGGCAGATGTAATTAATACTTTTGCAGTACCAATTGGCTATACCTTTTCTCTGTTTCTCTTTACATAATTTTTTTGGTATTTTTCGACCTGCGGCTAGATTTTCTACTGAACGTAAAATTAGCTCGTTCTATAGCGGAATACAAATGCGGGCTATTCCGTGAGTTGAATCCCTCTAAATGTCTGGCAGATAAAAGCACAAAAGATTTCGCCAGCGGCAAGTGTGCGAAAATTGTTCTACCAAATTCGAGTGGGGTACTGGGTATATGGAGATACCATGCATAACTTTGCCTTGATTTGAAGCAAAAATTATCTCTTTTTATACCCTAACTGGGTGCATGTTAGCGCATATGTTAAACGTTGTAGAACACATTTTATCGAGTAAATAAATAATGTTAATTGACAACCTTAATGGAGCTGCTTCTCTCAACATTGCTTGTCGCCATTGCAATCAATTCACTTTGCAGCTCTGAGATTGGAGAAATCGTGTTTCGGTTCATTTTGAAATGTGTGTAAAATTGTTTTCAAAGGGTAACCTTACTAATAAAGTTGTCTCTCCCTCTCTCTGCGTGTATTTCTATGCAACAAATTATATAAGTTTTCAATGTGGGCAATTTTACATATATAATAAAAATACGGTCTTTGACCCTAAAGAAGGAACAAAAAGTTTATAAAACCCAGAAATTTATTTCTTTAAAGATTGACATCATCTTATTTATAATTTCCACTACAATGAATCTGTCAATTTTTTCAATATTTAAGTAATAATCGAAGTATGTTTATACTATTTTGAATTGAATGAAAAAAAAGTTAAGGTATGCAAAAAATATATCGGAAGTCAAATCTTAATGAAATAAATATTCGAACCAAGCCCATCAGCATCTGACTTCTATCATTGGATCGCATTCTCTATGCAAGTGTATTAAAACTTCGGCACATCGATATTTATTTTTTCTGTCTTATTTATATTTTTCCTTTGTTGTTGTTATTGCTATTTTTTTAGTTATGCTCTGTGCGGTTAATCGCAAATGAGCATAGCAATTCCTGTGTACACATAATGAGGCCAATTAGGCCTGCGGCAAAAACTAAATGCCGTGTGCAGCTTGTTTAATGGGCCGTTTAACTATGACTATCCTCCACACGTGACCCTTTCCCCCTACACTGCTAACCAAAAGTAAGCCAACGTGCTGTTTACACATTTCTTTTGGCCACGCGCAATTACTTGTCTGCTAACGGGCGCTTATACTTATATATCTGCCGGATTACGAATCAGCTTTAAATCTTGCAGACTTGCGGACGCCTTTGATAACTGCTTAACTGGCGAAAGTGCTTCTTACTTTTTTATAAAACCCTTTTATTGGATAACTGCGTGCAATTCGACTGCAATATTACTAGTTCGTTTGATAGTTTTATTTATAGCCTCTCTCGGCCCGCAGCCCCAAAGAGGCTTCATTAAAATGGACATCAAATCGACTGGTTCTCTGATAAAGTTAATTTAAGTTTTATAAGGAGTTTGTTGTATATTTCAATAAACATAAGAATGTTGATTTATGAAAAAAATTAAAAAAATATCAATAAATAAAGATTTTGCACTTAGCTTTAGATTTGCGCAGCTCCGATATTCATGGTCTTCACTCTTTCTCTCGTTGAATGCACTTAAAATATTGAAAAAAAAAAATGATTTCTTATAAATGTAAAAAAAATTTTCTCGAAAAAATTTTGCAATGTTGACGATTTGCTGTGTCACACTATTATGAATGGTCGTATTTGTGTATGCCAATACTATACCTAGCATTTTCAATTTAGCAACACTGGGTGTTTTTTCTAGAAATTACTTTCCACACAGTCTACAATTTGCTGTGTCAACCAACTATAAATTTCCAATTTTTGATACTGACAATACTTTTTTTAGTTTTACAACACTGTAAATTAAAATCAAGTTGACAGCACTTTCATGTACTGCTAATGTAGGAGTTATGAATAAAATGTTATGTAAGCCCCTTAGACGGAACAAACTGTCCTAGTTATTTTATCAAATACTCCAGGGCTACTAAATACGAACACACATGCGCTCATACACACACGTGCACTCATAGAGGCACACACTCGCTGAATATTTGCACAGAATGCATTAGAGCTTTACATGAGAGCATGTGAAATATTTATGGAGGAGCATTGTAGACGTCAGATGATTAGTTGCATATTCCATGTGCAGGCAAAGCTCCCCGAGCTGTCGATGATTTTGACCGTGCAAATATTTAATCTTGGTACATTTTTGCCCCTCTGCTGCTGTCCATGGTCCACGGACGTGCTGGACGTCTTGGAAATCTCAGTTGTATTCCGCCAAACAGCAGCAATGGCAGCAGAATCACCAATACCACCGCCAGAAGCTCTGCTCGCAGCTCAGCTCGTATTAGCTCAAGTCAAACAATGGCATTGGCAAGCCCCAGCCATAGCGCCAAATTGCAATGTGCAGAGGCCAGCACAGTGCAAAAGGGATAGAAAAAAAAAGAAAAAATAAAATAAAATAAAAAGGAAAAGTGTTGTTAAGAAAATGCACAAGACATAAAATCGATCTGCGTGTTGTGGTCGACTCTGCAAAGTTTTATTGCGGGTGGGTGGTTGCCACTAAATCCTCGGTGTGGCAGATTAACACGTCCTGGTCAAGCCATAAACGTAGTGCTGCCAGCAACAGAAGGTCAAATTCGAGTTGCAAATAAATAAACGAAAATATATAAAAATAAAATACCAATATTGCAGCGAAAATAGCACTAACTGAATAACTAAAATAAAGTAAGCATATGCTTAAACCAATTCAGATCTTTGAATAACAATAATAAATAGCAACAAAAAAAAAAAAACTTAAATAAACGCATCTTACATTTAAATAACATGAATGTGATTTAATGGAGGCTGTCAAAATCGATTATAAATTTAATTTAATCAATTTGTACTTATTTAATTAAGCTTGTTCACCGCCCTTTTCCAGTTTCCCACTGGTCTCTTTTATGCCTTACGGCTGCAGCTGCTGCACGGGAAACGTAGCTTTGGCTAGTCGCAGCAATTGTATATGATGTAATTGGAATTTGTATACTCTTTTATAGGCTATTATAATTATCTCATGATATGTGCAACGTATTGAACAAGACAACTCCGACCGAGTTGATGTAGCCATGTCAGTCTGTACGTACGTTCGTCTTTTCATTTCTACGCGAACTAGACTTCCGTTTTTTTACAGGTCCGTCTTTCGGTTGCAAGCAGTACATATGTCGAAGCCGGCTGGATCGGACAACGATATCACATAGCTGGAATTGAAACAAGAGGTCCAAAAGTAGACTCTTGTATGGAAAACTTTTCTATTGCAATCGAACCACTATATCATACATTGAATTGGTAGCAAAGTAGGTTTTTATACCCTTGCAGTGGATATTATAATTCTATCGTGATGTTTAACGCATAGAAGGAGACATCTCAGGATATTCTTGGATAGTATCAACAGCCGAGTCGATGTAGCCATGTCCGTCTGACTGTTTCTATGCGAACTGGTTTCTCAGTTTTAAAGTTTTCGTCGTGAAACTTTGCAGAAGTCCCTCTTTCTGTTGCACGCAGTACATATGTCAAGACCAGCTGGATCGGACCACTATATCATATAGTTGCCATAGGAACGATCGGTCGAAAATTAAGTTGTTTGAAAAACATTTTTTTTATCAAGATATATTGATCAAGCTCGGCATTAACTATTTCGGGCAAGGCATTATGAAAAGGTCGGGTCTGCAAGGGTATTAGATCTTCGGCGTGCCGAGAATGGCATTTCTTTCTCGTTATATTTCAAATGGCTAGCGGCGTTTTAAGTGTACGAGAATTAAATTAAAGTACGTGTAAACTGCTGTTAATATAATGAAATTAAATAAACCAATAAATCTTGTTGGCAGCACTAACTTTTATAGCCTCTATCAATTAAAAAAGATGGGTCAAAAAGCGCTTAAACCATTCATTTCACGATTAAAAGCTGACAAATAAAAGCCTTAAAAGCGTATCATATATGCTTGTATTGTTTTTATTGGCTCTCTGAAATTCCTCTACTGTTCAGTTCGAGAATGGAATTTCAATTTTCTTTTACTATTAAACGAAATTTAAACTGAACCATTTGCCTACAAGATAGCCAAACCCCAATTTGAAATAGCTACTTTTTAGCTGTTCTTTTCATAAGTTATTAAATTAAAGAATATTTTATTTGTTCATTTTTGAATTTGTTTATTTGCTTTTATAAAATCAATCATAACAATTCTTTAATCAGTTTGGGCGTTCATTGAAAATTCGCTATTAAATTAATTAGTTGCTTGTTTGTCGTTTTTTAGTTTTTGCATTTTTACATATTAAACAATTCCATATTTAGTATGCTTTATTTACGCAATTATTAAATACTTAAAAAATAAAATGCGTCTAAATCGAAATACTTACAGCATATGTAAGTAGATGTCATATTGATGTACACATTATGATGAATTACATAATGATTATTATTATTATTATTTTAATTATTATTGGTGACTATAATAATTATTCAATTAGGTTGTTTTCTTTTACTACTCAATCAATTGTTAAAAAATATATATTTGTTCATATACAATATTTTGTGTCTGTGTGTGAGTGTGTGCTTGCTATTATAATTATTATTATTTTCTTTTTTTTTTTCATTTATTTATTGGTTCTTCATACAGGACGATAAACCATCATAGACGTTATCAAAAAGGCAAACCATTAATTATATAAGTAAGTACATACAATAATTTTTACAAGATTTGCATAATGTTGCTTTGTTTTTTTTTTTTTTTGACTTGAATTATCTATGACTAGTGCTGTATTTTTTCTCAAAAATTATACAAAAAAAAAAGTTCATTAATGTTACATTTAAAATTCCATTAAGAAGACATTTTGCATGTATGGACTGCAGTTTGTATGCTATGAGGTGGCAGGATAGCCCTGACCACTGCCCAAGTTATGCTCAGGCGATTGTTGTTGTTTTTGTAGTTGCAGTTCCATTTGTTGTTGTTGTGTGGGTGACATGTTTCTTTGGCTAGTCGTAGGCGTTGCTGCATTAGTTCTACTATTTATATTATTAGTGTTATTATTATTTTGGCTAAATTGAGACTTATTATTATTAGTGGTCGATATTGTGGCAACTCGTCTTAGACGATTATCTGGTATCGGTGGTGATTGTAAAGTGCCCGATCCCTGATGCATTGGCGATAATGATGATGGTCCACTGGCGCTGCCACCAAATGCACCAGCAATGCTGCTGCTGCCACCACCACCACCACCAGCACCGCCAGCACCACCAAAGATGCTGCCATTGCTGCTGCCAAGAAGACTCATCGAATGCTCATTCGATAAAATCTGATGGGCAGCCCAATTCATTTCCTCGGGCGTCATATCCAGCGCCTCACGCATCTCCCGTGCAGCTGTGCCCACAAATTCTGAATCACAATATTTTCCTAGACCCTCAGCGGCGAGTACCTACAAATAATAGTCGCTTAGCATACAAATTAGAATAATGTTCTTTTCGTTTCGTACTTACCCCTCCAATTAATGATTCGGCTAGGCCGTTCATTTCAGATGAAGTTGGTAAACGACGCTGATCGTAGGGACTAGCTGGTGTCGATTGGATCATGCGTTCGTGGCCAGGAATAGCACCATTGGGCGCGTAGACTATATAAATGCAAAAGATATACAAAAGTTAAGATATTAGCTGCTATTGGTTGGCATATTATTTTCGCAGGGGTTAGTAAATTTGTACAGCGCTTGATGATCATATAAAATCTCTATAAAACTGACAGTTTTGATATCTCACCTACCTTTATTTGCGCCTTAATTTCAGTTATATACAAGTTATAAGGATCTTACCTGTCTTTATTTGTTAGTCTTAGAAATTTAATATTCAAACTAAACAATATTTTGCCTATCTTCATTAATTCTTCAAATTTATACCCATTTAAATAAAATTAAATTTAGGGAATATATAGTATTTTGCTCGGACTAACAAATATCTACAAGAATTTAGCTTTTATTTGTTAAAATATTTGAAAATTGAATTATTAACTTCAGATTTTAATAAGAATATATTGAGTCCCTCAGTTCTTAGGCTATCTCAACTGGAAGCAGAGTTAATACTTTCGTGTAAGCAAAATATATGCCATACACAGCTCATACAGAGCTTTTTATTATATGTACTTTTCATAATGATTGTCAATTAATATTCATTTGATATAACTCTAATAGGGCCGCTTGGCTTATAATATAGTTCTGTGTGACTAATATGTTATGCAGATCCAATAGTGTTTTTTTCATCCAGTTTCTAACTTCATCATAGAATTTCCCTTAACTAAAATGATCATCAAGCATTTTACTAGATATATAGTTATAAAAGACAACTTAAATTACTGTTGACTGTTAGTTAAGCATTCAATAATATACAGGCTATATTAATATGTTAGATGTTATTGTACAGCTTTATGTAAATGATATATAAGCATTTTCTATACAAACAAAAGTTGATTATTATATATATACGAGCTAAAGCAAGCAACGATCTCTCTTTATGAATATATATATATATGCATATACAATATAAGACATGGCAAGCATGTCTCCAAGTTGGGCTCTACAAAGACGGTACTAAGGCATTTTCTATGGCATGGACATGGGCAGCGTTATAAAACGAAGCAGGCGGCTCAGCTAAAGCTAACCAAAAACCAAGCAATGTCTGTATATGTGTTGAGGTAGGATGTGTGTGTGTGTGTGTGTCCTTTGGTTATACACAGAGTGTGTTTGTATTGGGTTTCTCTGTCTTTTCCTAAGGGAACACCCGCACATTAAAAACATAAGAAGCGACGTTTATACAACATTTAAACAACAATAAACAATTTTTTTTTTGAAGATTTTGCATATCAAAAATAATTAGGTATACGAGTATATACGAATA